ATGTAGGCACATGCTATTGAACTAAGTATCCTCTTAACTTGATATATAAACATGTATCTTTTTGACTTATTTAAGTTTTCTCTGTCCTCTTTAGCATTTTATAGACTGACTTTAAGGGTGATGTATAGGTTTTCCTAATGTGAGCATATTTCTATTTCTGCTTTCTTTTCTCCTGTTTTACAAACACCATACTATGGTTGCTACATTACTCTTTTAACACATACCACTCATTATCCAAGCCTTTATGTTAAATTAAATGAAATGATTGCATAATACCATTTTATTTTCTTTCAACATACTTTCACACATTCTGTATTTTTTCATAAAATTTCAGTCACTGTTTTCTTTTCTTGTGCATTACCTAAGTGCTCTCTTTGCTCCCTTTCAACTTTCTGAAGTACTTTGTGCTATATTTACCTGACTTTTAAAATACTGTACTGAGGAATGGAGTGGAGGATGATTTGGAGTAGGAATCTTTACTAACAACTCCTGCATCTTCAAGAATCTCAACTATCCACACACATAGATACAGCTAAGAAATTTAAGTGGACAGTATACAGTTATAGCACAATACAATGGAAAGCAAAAAAGAACATAGGAAGAACAGTTTTCCATTCCCTGCATCACACCTTGCATAACTTAAGACAATACAGACCATAGATAGAGCACAACCACGTGAGACAGGGAAGTTAGCATGGGACTTTGCCTTGTACCCCATCACAGGGGAATCTTTCAGGAAAACCCAATGTTGAGGAGAATCCCACAGCCTCAAAGTCTATGCCACCTGCAGACTGAGGTGGAAGACATTCATGTCCTCCTGTAAGGAAGTCTTCTTGTAAGAAGATGGGTCTTCTGTGACCCATTACTGCAACTTCCCCTTGCTTTGAGTCCTATGACTCATGTCCATGGAAGGCTCCAGATAAGATGCACAAACTATAACTCATGTAAAAGTGTGCTTTTCTCTGAAAGAACGGCATGAGTTTCCTAATTTACAATTTAAACTTAAGAAAATATATGTGAGAATTTATACTAAGAGGGTGGGTTACAGTTGAAATGATCCACTGTTAGGTCACAGTGAACATATTTACATAGGCCTAACAAGCAGAGATTCTGAACTTCATGCTACACCTCAAAACATTAGTAAAGTTGTAAGAGTATGCTTTGTCAGCCAAATCATAGACCAAGAGCCCACACAAAATGAGGTAGAAAGGATCTACCTGCTTTTTAAAAAATCCATAGAAAATGTGACTCAAAGAATTATGGAGATTTGAAATTTAGATTGTGGAGCTGTCTTTCAAGCCTACTAACTCAATGCAGTAGGTTCACTGTACACATCTATAGTCCTAGTACTTGAGAGATTGAGGCAAGAGAAAGATGGGGAGTCAGAAGCCAGACTGGGCTACACAGCAAATTCAAAACCTGCCTGCATAACACAGCAAGATCCTGTTTCCAAAAATATGAATACATTACCAAACATGATGGTAACATACACATTTTTGAGAATAGTTCCATTCCCAGCATCCATGAATGTCTCTTTTATCTTTCTTTTCTATAAGAACCCATGGTGGTGGATCTCACTATTTAGTAGAAAGCTCTAAACTCAGGGAAAGTAATTAGGATACAAGCAGTAGTGGTCAAGTGTCACAAACGTCAAAGACAAAAGGTTGTTGCTGCTGTGATGGAGACTGACATTAATGGAACAATCAATAACCAATCTATATGCATCTACCATGTTGGCTAGATGATCATGGCTTTCCTAGATACAAAGAAGACTAAAAGCCTACTCAATTACTTCTTGATAAGTGTAACATGAGAATTCTAGGGCAAATGGACAAGTGTCTAACTTGGCACTAAAGAGTGATATCTCCATACTTTATCCAGTTTACAAAGCTAGACAATTGTGAATGAAGAAGAGTCCATGTGCCTGGAAGGAAGAGTCTTGGTACCCTCAAAAATTTATATTGTAGATATTTTCCCAGTCTTCCCTCAAAATACTCAAGAACTTATAGGAGAAAATACAGATTGAGGAACAGCATCTGTTAAGAGCTTCCAAACATTATTGAACAATGTCTCTCAAATGCCAGAAATAGTAAGAAACCCAAAATGTTCCTGTGGTCTAATAATCAAAGTAGAGCCTTATGGAGGTTGGGTAGTAAATGACTTTTTATCTCAATTTAGAGTCATAATCAGTCTGATGTTTTTACAAATATACCCTGTGTTTATTTTCCAGGTCTGGGACCCATAATTGTAATAAAGTATCTCTTCATGTTCAGTGGGAAGAGTCCTTACACTGTTTCCTGATTGTAGCCTCGGTCCATATGTAGTATAGTGGGAAGTGCCAAACACCCTCTGTTAGATATGTATCATATTAAAAAATAGTAAATCAAAAGCAATATTTCATTAGTGGGGGGCTTGTAGAGTTTATTGCCACTGTGCAGGACTTGAAATATGAATGCACAGTGTGATGTTTAATCTTTATTATGTCATCTAGATTGGCTTGAGATCCACACAAGGGATCAGTAATGCAGACTTCAGGGTGTACCTGGCTGGATTTGCTTTACCTAATTGATGGTGAGCTCAGAAAGAGAGGAATAAAAGTTGTTGATGTCAATGTCAATCTCATATTTCAAATTTAACTTTTAAAAGAAAAATTTCCCTGAGTACTGTTTTCCAGTTGGATATTGCTTGTGAATTTACACAACAGATACTCTTGTAGGAGAGAGTCCAATTTCACTGACTGTAATGATCCTGATCCCAGACTCTCCTCCCTTTGTCTAGCTGAAATGTTTTATGCTTTAATATGAATTCCCCATTCCCTTTCCCATGCTGTGTTGCTTGCACATTGCTAACCGTCATTTCAGTCTCTACTCCTAAGAATTGAAATTTCCTTAGATCCCACATATCAATAAAGGCTTGAAATTTCCTGTGCCTGGCTAATTTCATTTCACATAAGGTTCTTTAGAGCAAAACATGTTGTCCCAAATAATATACTCTTGTCCTTTTTAAAGGTTGAAGAGTACTGATTGTGTATGTCTATCACCTTATTTTCATCCACTCATCCATTGTTGGACTCATAGGAGTTTTTATTAAATAATTAAACTTGGTGAATAATTCTGAAATGAGTATGAGACTAAGATCTCAATTCTTTTAGATATATCAACAGCAGTGGTATAGTTGGATCATATGGTAGCTCATTTATCCTTTTTTTTTTGGTCCAAATTACTTGAATTTTAATCACCCTGGGTTCATGTTGAATTACGATTGAAATTCTATTAAAAGCCTAGCCACATTCTTTACATTTGTAGGGTTTCAATTAGTAATGACTTCAAAAAATTCTTTACAATTTTAATGCTTTTATCCAGTATAATTTCTGTAATGTATATTAAGTGTTCTTTCCATTGGTAAGTGTTGTCTCCATTGGTATGAGTTCTCTGTTGTGAAGTTGAGCCATGTGAAATGCTGCCACATTCTTTACATTTGTATGACTTCTCTCCATTATGAATTTTCTTGTATTTACTAAAGATAGGAAGAAAGTTAAAGTTTATGCCACATTGTTTGCATTTTAATACATTCTGTCATATATGAATTCTCTTTTGTTGAGTGAGACGGGAGCAGCAAATAAAGGCTTTACTACTTTCCTTACATTTGTAGGGCTTCTCTCCACCATGAATTCTATGATGTCAAGTAAGACTTATATCATGTCTGATGTCTTTGCTACATTCCTTGCATTTGTAGGGTTTTTCTCCAGTATGAATTCTCTGATATTGACAAAGGAGAGAAGAATAGCTAAAGGCATTCCCACATTCTTTGCATTTGTAAAGTTTCTCTCCATTATGAATTCTTTGGTGTATAGAAAGTGTAGACCAAGTACCAAAGTTTCTATCACATTCTTTGCATTTGTATATGTTCTCTCTAGTCAGCACTCTCTAGTGTAAAGAGAGGTCTGAATGCTTATTAAAGGCTTTGCCACACATTTATTACATTTGAAAGGCTTCTCTACAGTATGAATTCTCTGATGTTGAGTTAGATGTGCATCATGAGAAAAGAATGTGCCACATTCTTCATATTTGTAGAGTTTTTCACCATTATGAATTCTCTGATGTGGAGTAAGGTATGAATGATAGTTAAAGGCTTTGCCACATTCTTCACATTTATATGGCCTCTCTCCAATATGAATTCTCTGATGTATACTAAGGCATGAAAACAAGTTAAATGCTTTGCCACATTCTTTACATCTATATACCTTCTCTCCATTATGAATCTTTTGATGCTGACTGAGGTATGAGCAATTATTAAAGGCTTTTCCACGTTCGTTATATTTGTAAGGTTTCTGTCCACTATGAGTTTTCTCATGTCTCAAGATTTGAAGAACTTTTAAAAGCTTTGCCACATTCTTCACAACTGTTCACCTTGGTCTTGGGAAGACATATTTGTTGATTACAGAGTAATCAACCTTTCATGAAAAAACTAAACTGATCACATTTAGGAATTTGCTCTTCACTTTTAAATTTGTTGTCTACCAAAAATGAATTGTTCAAAATTTAATCCAATGTTACATTTAAAATTTTTCAAGTGATGAACTAAAGCATGGTCTGGTCTCATTCTTAGATTTTCCAAATTTCTTTTGAGAGAAAAGGCATGTTTCAAAATTTGATGTGACTATTCACCTACAGAAACATGTAGGTCTTTAAAAGTAGCAGGTACAAACTCATTATTTTTTTTGAAATGTTGTATGTTCATCTCCGCTGGCAGTGAAGTTTATGCCTTCTTTAGTTATTAGAAATTTCTCACATCCATTAAAACATGCATTCTGATCTTCATACTCACCCATATTTTCCCATTCTTTTTTAAAATATAAGTTGTCATGGCCACAAATATTGTGTCTTCCATTTGTCATATTCTGGAATGAACATTTTCTGTTCTGTTTTGATGAAATGCCTTGGGCAAAATGGGAAGTTACAGAGGTGAAGGGAAAAACTTGAACTGTTACTATGAATGTCCTATGAAATAACTGGAGGAGGACTCTTAGAGGATTTAACAGTATGATGAGCACAGGGCTGGAGATGTCTTCCTAGGTATACAGCTAATGTTTCTTGTTTCTTCACATTGCAGGGCTCTCTTCTTTGCTCTAGAAAGGTGATCATGTTAGGCATAGAGCCAGCAAAACCTAGGGAGACCAGGTTTCCATAAGTCTCTAACATCACATCCCTATAAATATTCTGCTGAGCAGCATCCAGGAATTCCCACTCCTCTGGGGAGAAATCAAAGGCCATGTCACTGAGTGTCAACAGTTCCATTTTTGGCTTCCAGGGTTCTCGTTATCTTCTTGTGTATCTCCCATGCCTAGAGATCACAGGGTCACAAAGGCTAAAATCAAGTCACATGTGCCAACAGAGCCAAAGACAGTGTGCAAAGTATATTGCCAAGATGGCGGGCCTACACTTTTTTAATATATCTCAATAATGTTCTCTAGAATGGCTGAACTAATTTCATTCAGTTTATTTTTTAAGTTAAAATTTCATTACTTTTCCAGATTATAAGTACATCCTGTGTAATACTATGGACTTCTAGTACTTTAAGTTATGTGCAACACAGATATAATCAATTTCTGTGATTTACAAGGGGTAAAATTGTGATCATTGAATGACGCGATATGCTGTTGAGCAAAACAGAGCAACCAGCATGTCCAAAGGCTATGATGGTTCTTAGCATATCAGGGTAGAGGGAGAAAAAATACATCTGTGGGAGTTAAATCCTTCACAGTGTCTCTAGAATGAGGTAATACAATTAAAATGAGTGATGAAGTCTGTCTAAACAATGTGTGGATATATCAATACATGGAAAATAAAATTACACAAATAACAATTATATATTGACAGCAAAAATTATTTAATACAGATATCACTGAACACAGTGATCAGCACATGGGTGACACAATTAATTTACATTAAAAAACTCTATTGCAGAACAGATAAATGCTTTATTTGGAAAATTTTGAGGTTATACAGCACAATTCAATTAAAGCAGAAATTTTCCTTTTCAGTTTCAGAATGAAGGAAAATAGATTCAACATGAGGTCTACTCAATTCTAAATAGTTACATCATTTATAGAACAGTGCCTTGCAGAGTCTTTGCACCATCTCTGATATATTTGTTCCTCAAATTATAGATGATGGGATTCAGGATGGGAATGACAATGGTATAGAATATGGACACCACCATATCCTGCTCCAAGGCATAGCTGTAACTGGGTCTCATGTATATGAAGAGGATTGTCCCTTGATAAATAGACACTCTGGTTAGGTGTGAGCCACATGTGGAGAACACTTTCCTCCTCCCTTCACTAAAATTCATCCTCACCAAGGCCAACAAAATGAATCCATAGGAGATGAGGATTATTGGGATGGTAACCACCTCAGTACCCCCTAAACACTAGAAGAGTAGATGCTGGTTTGCATGAGTATCAGAATAAGAGATAGCGAGGAGAGGAGGGATATCACAGAACACATGTCCATAAAGACAGTCTGAATGTGGCCACAGTACGTACCACAGCATGTAAATTGTCACCACCATAGGAACCAGTGATGAATGGCATGTAGACTCGGGGTGACATCCTTACTACATACAGAAGCAGGTGGTAGATGGCTACATAGTGACCATCAGTCATTGGTGCCAAGAGTAATGATTCTGTCCTTCCAAAACTAATGAAGAGGCACATCTGTGCTACGCATCCATGGAATGAAATCGATTTATCTTCTGCCAAGTAATTAATCAACATTTTTGGAGTGACAAAAGTAGAATATCAGGTGTCCAGGAATGATAAAACACTCAGGAAATAATACATTGGGTTGTGAAGTTGGGCATCCCCAATGACCAGTACCACTAGACCCAGGTTTCCTATCATAGTAAAATGATAGGTGGCAAAGAGTACTAAATAACAAAACTAGCAAGTCCCAATCATCTGTGAAACCCAAAAGTATGAACATGGTGAGTTCACTCATGTCCTTCAGGTGAACCTTGCATATATCCAAATCTGATAATCATCTTTCCATTTCAGTTTTTATTTACGGGTTCTAATAGGAATTTCACTTGTCCTTGGAGTCCATTCAGCCATATCTACATGTGTTTCTCAGAATGGCATAACAGTTTCCCTAGTAGGCAGGGGATGATCAATGATAAAGAAATTGGACCCAAGTGGATGCATTTTGCTGTATAAGGAAAAGAAAAATATAATTTAACTTATTTATTGGCTGGATTTATTACACCAAAATACTGTGCTGCCTATATGTATGGGTTTTGTGTCCATTTATTTTTGTTACATTTTCTACCATCTGCTATAAGATGATTTTAAAATTCACAAAAGTTAATATAAGAATATTTAAGCCTCAAAATATTATACTTCATTTCATGCCTCTGTTTACTCATCCTTGGTTTGCTATGAAGTACAAGAAATGTCCTTCTTTTTTTTTGGTTAAAATGGGATCAAGCCAGATTTTGTCAGAGATGGTGTGGGAACAAAATGCGAACAAATTCTCAAAATCATTTCATTTAAAAATATCTCCAAATGACTAGAAAAAGGGATTTTACACTTCTATTTGAAGTTTTCATATGAGATTGCAAGAGAAATTATTTTATACCCCACTCTGAAAACTGTTCCCATCAATAGAACATGACATAATAGCCTGGAGATAAATACACTTTATTTGCAAATGAAATCACTGCCATTTTATGTTTAGTTTTTTTTTGTCAAAATATATATCACAAGTTGCCCTTGTTCGACCTCACTAACTTATTGTGTCCTTATATTCTTTTAAATTTAACTTAATAACATGATATGTTTTTCAATTTACTTGCTCAGTTTACTTTCAAAATCTTTGAAATAATTCTGGGATACTTTTTTCTTGAAAAAATAAATTGTTGCTATTAATGATGTGCTGCAATTGATTTTGGAATTTCTGAAATAACTATGAGATAAATTTCACTTGAAATTTTTATTTAAAAGAAGACATTGCTAAACTTTTAAAAATTGCTAGATAGTGGTATTTGAGCTCAGAGTTTTTCCCTGTTATCCTTATAATTTTTCTCATTAGAGAGGCACAATTAAGAAACATGCATAAATACAGAATCAACAACAAAAAAGTTAAAGTACCCTGTTTCTTACTGAAAACTTCAGTGCTAGAATGCAATGAAATATTGGGTCCAATGTAGTTAGGGAGAAGTTCTATTATGGAGCTGGTATTTTTCTTTTAGTATTTTAGAGAGGAAAAGACATTTTAGAAGAAGTGAAAACCTTGATGTAATGAGGTCTGGGATGATTTCATAAACTTACAAATGATTTACAGTCATGATCTAAAACACAGGATGTCATGATTTAAAGTCATAATCTAAAAAACAGAAGACAATAAACAACGAATTCACACTACTGTTAGAAAAAAGCCATGAACGTATATTATTGACTCCTAGATCCAGTAGAAATGTTCTTTGCAATATTTATAATAAATAGCTCCATAAGTGGAAGACAATAGAAAAAGCAACAAAAACTATACTCATTAATTCTTCACAGAACTTATATATGATTCATAAGAAAACACAGATCTTTTATACTAATGTATAATTTTTTACTACAATGCTAAATCAGCTTATTAAAACAATTGATAAATAATATATGTAAACATCAGTGGGTCATTCAGATGTCACAAAAGTTCATTTCTATTTAAAAAATTTTTATTTTCTCTTTCCAGCTCCTATCTCAGCTTTGACTCTCCATCTCTGAGTCTCTCTCTTTCTCTCTCTCTCTCTCTCTTTCTCTCTATTTCTGTCTCTCACACAATTAATGATATATTTCCAACATATTTATTATAGACATTGAGGAGAAACAAGAGTTAAGCAGATAGGGAAAAACTATGCAAACAAATTTGGAAGAATGCACTGATAGGTGATCTACTAATGGAATCCATTACAAAATACTTTTTGACAAAAGTACACAGGAGAAATTTTACATACATTAGAATCAAACATCAATTTCCTGATGTGAATTACATTTTAATCCTAAAATCCCATTTTAATAACTTAGAGATTAGCATCCTTGTAAGGTTAAAAATTCTCCTCTTTTTGTTTTAATTAGAGCACCTAAAATTTGTCCAAAACTATTATGTAACTTCTTGAACTTTATGAAAATTTAATTATATATGAGGGGCACAGATATGAAATACTTCAAAATTTTATTTATGCTATGAAATAAGTAGAGATTTATAAAATCAAACTTCTAATAAAGGCATTGAGAAGTTAACAGACTCCAAATCAGAAGAAAGAGATTTGTTCTTTTACTGTATACCTGCATTTGTTGTACAATAGAAAACATATTAAGATAATATTTTCCTGAGATTTAAATCCAGTAACTCCCAATATTCTGACATATGAGATATTTGAAAATTAAACTTCATCACTGTATCCTGCCCACTGGCATGAGGAAAATAATAGTATGTTTCTTCATTTTCTCAGATCCTCATGTCGATGAAATATTCTATGGAACACTTGACATCTGCAATCTTCTCTGTTACACAGGAATGCAACCTGCATGTGAAAGTTCATTTTATTACAGATCACATCTCAATTGATTGTTTGTCCTTTGACTGGAGAAACCAGATTCATAATAATGAAATGGGATGAGGTTTAGCTCCTCATCCAAAGTGCACTCCAAACATGTTTTCATTTAACTAATATTTTAGGAAGTTAGAAATGGTTGTGTTTATGGCTAGCTCATTTCATGTTAGGAGACTAGAGAGGCTAGAAAGTTTGAAGTATAGATAGCAAATTTTCATTTAACAGACTGTGACTAGTCTGGAATACTAAAATAAAACCTATGGTCCAAAAGTACCAATAATTAGAAGTCATTGATACCTGGTAATAGAGTTACTAACACTAGGTTCTCTAAGGAAAATCTGTGATGCAGCTGCCGTGTATTATTAAGTGTTTTCACAGTGTGGGAATTTACTCTGCATTATTTCACAGCAACTCTAAAGTGAATTACATAGACCTGAAACCTGAGGCTCAAACACAACTGTAGTTTTCTCAGCCACTCAGTGCCCACCACGATTCTGAAAATAGTGTCCCTCAGAAATCACAGAATTGATGTCCTCGCACATTTCAATAATGGAAAGAAACAAAGTTTAAGTAGCCCATGATAATTTCCAAAGAACATTGAAGCCACATCTATCTCACTTAGCTGACTAGTAAATAAATTTGAATTTGTTTGTAATTTTTATTAAGGAATTAAGAAAATAATCCCCTAACGAAA